GCTTTATTTAGTTTTATTCAAATGAAGATGCCTCCACAAATCTCTCTGCCCCCTACTTTCCAGGGTTCCTTGCAAGATTTATAGCAGGTGTTCACAGTTAAACATCTACATTGTCCTTCATTAAATTTCAATTATTTATATGCGTCAGTAGTCCCTTTGATAGATGACAAAAATAATAAACATCAGAGAACAGAAAATCTAAAGCCTTTCCACAATCCAGACCCTCCTAAAGAAAACCTCACAAAGGGTGATCCTTAGATAACTGCATGAACATGGGGAGAAATCATTGTCAAACACAGTGCCTCAGTGCTTTCTGCTACATTCTCTGGGTTCTTTCAGTGTGTTAAGTAACTTTTTGGAAAAAACAGTACTTTTGCTGGTCCCCATAGGCACATGTGTGGAGTGATTTATGCAGCCTGGAATCCAGCTTCTCAGTGTATCTTGCTTTGAAATAAGGGCCCAAGTCTACAGTCCCCTGAGCCCATCCCTTAAGACACCTCATTGTACTATAGCTGTTTAAAATTTTCCTTGAACACATTGACATTTTTAAACATATATTTCATCTCATCTACCTTCAAAGAGTACTTAAGTAACACAATACGTACAATCAAACATTTTTTTTTCTGAATGATTGATTATCATATGCTTTAAGTGCAAGTTTCTTTTAAACTCATCTTTTTCCTGCTCCAAATTAAGGCTTACATTTGAAAGGTATGGAAACGTATAGTGTTTATGTGGCGATCATCTTCTGCTAACAGTTTCAAGTCACTTTCCAGTCAAAAGAAATATTAGCTGCTGAATGATCTGCTGGCTCCATAATTATGATCACTCCTCCCCCATCCCTTTTGTTAACAGGCTGCACTGCCCAGCCTAGTTGTGTCTCACATACACATAACACCACAATTTCTGGCCTCCCACCAGATGCTATTCAGTTTTTCACTTAACTGGGTGTATTCCTCTAACACAGACCAAAACCAGCCCAGCTTCTCATACTGTGGCTTTTTGAAAAAAACAAATCCTGCTGGCACCCAGTTTGTGTGGCAGACCTGCTCCCCAGATTCTGATGGTCTTGAAAGCGCAAGAAGGACTACTTTAAGAGACTGCAGAAAGAAAACTTTGTCCCAGTTCTGGTTTCACCAGACTTGAGGTGAAGGCCTTCTGCATGTGGGACAATGACTGGGAAATAAGATCCAGGAGTGTTATTTGTTATAACAGTTAGGGATAGAGAAATCATCTGTTATCGTCTTAATAAGTGTCACAGATAAAGCTCTGTAGGTGGGGGTTTTTTTCAGCTTTTAGAAGAATTATAATTTTACCTTTTATAAAAATGTTATATTGGTGAAGTGAAAGTGGAAATTTATGCAAAAATGGTTAGCAATGTTTCAATCAAAATTCATATTATTCATACTCATTCACAGAGCCTTTTGTTCAGTCTCTCAATGCTTAGAACAACACAATCACGCATTTTATTTTAAACATTGTAAATTATCTATTTTCTGAAATTGCAAATGATCCATTTCTAAACATAAGCATTCCGTGTTGTAATCCCTTGATTTTATTTTAACATGAACAATGCCATTCACTGGCTCCAAGCATTTAAATAAAGATTTTAAATTTTAACAATGAATATATTCTATGTTTAATACTTACAAAGATATTCAATTATACACAGTTATTTATGAAGTGGAGAACTAATTGAATGTCACTGCTAAAGCAGTGTGTCCCTGGAATTTAAATAGAAGTGTGAAGAATCCCAAGAGACTGCTACCGAGGGAATAAGAGTATGAGATTAATGAGTAATATAATCTAAGAACAAACAGACTTCGGTCTTCTGTCCAAAAAGCAACAGACTATTGTGAAGTACCTTTTGTTTTAAGCCAATTGCCTACATTGCAGTAGTGGTACAATTGAGGCAGAAAGAAGCCAGTGACCCCTTCCTCTCTCCCACCCATTTTTTTTCCCCAATGTAATGGGGTTGGAACATCCTGCTGGGCAGTGAGAAGTGTAGGTTTGAACCATGGCAGGCTAGAGAAAGAATTCAACCAGGAATGAATCCCACATCCTCTGTATTTCGACCCCATAACAGTATTTAAATAGTAGGCACCTATCATGGTTGGTTGTGAAAGGAGGAAGCGAGGCAACTGAACATGTTAGCCTGGATTTGGGCCTTTGAAACCCTATATGAGAGAGGTGCTGCCTTCCAGGCCATAAAAAAAAAAAAAAGGTAACCTAAGCTGCAGAAGAAGAATTTGAGGCACACCCTTCCCTTAGTGTTTCTCTTGGCTAGTTTGAACAACTCCCAGCTCAGCCTTATTGTCTGCTCAGAATTCCTTTCCAAGGCATCCAGTTCTCCCATGGGCAGGGACCTCAAGCACCTAACCCAGTCTTGAGTGACTTGGTCCAGGTGCCAAACATCTAGGATGAGAAGTAATGACCTTCAGTATTGCTGGACCCAACTCCCTTCACCCATTTAATGCCAAACACGTGCTAATCTCCTGCTGCTGCAGAAAACATCCCCAGTCACTCAGTAACAAACTGGTCACAAGCTGTACCCTCACTGTGTATATCATAAGAAAAACAGGCAGGGGAGATATTAGCCCATCTATTGAAAAGGGGTATGGTGTTTGGTTAGATAATAATGTAGACTTTTTAGGTGCGTAGTGTTAAAGGTCTAAACAAAGTTACAATAGGCGTGCCTTAAAGAGGATGTGATGTGTAGATTGCAAGTTGTGGGCTCCGACTGATGTGAAACAACTTTAGAGAATCTTACTTTCACAAAGAGACTTCACAGGAAAGAAAAAAGAGGGAAGAATAAAATCAGATTGCTGTATGGTCTTGATAGTCCCTTGTAGACTTTAACATTGAGCACTGGAAGTGCAGTATTTGGATGGAGTACCTCACTGTCAGGAAAAACAGAAGCATCTATAATTGAAATAGCACATGGTTTTACTGCCTGTTTTTATTATCTTTGTTACAGCATAAATTATGGCTTGTTATCACTGATTGTTTTTTGTGTTATTTATATTATAAAATGTTATGACTTTAACTACATCCATACAGGAATTTGAAACAGTTGCTATCACGTAGTCCACTTATACTGATACAGAGGTTCCTTATGTTTGTGTATTTTTTTGATGTAGCAAAGGAAATATCTTCACTGCTACAGGTATCAGTAAAGCCCTATAGTTATAGGGTCACTAAGCCTTTTCCAAGTAGAAGTGCATTATTTTGGTACCAAGACATATGTGAGTAAATTCATTGCACAGGAGGAATCCTCAGGTATGAACAAGGCCAGCCTTACAGTCAATGCCAGCAAGCTTTCTCAAAAATACCAAGCTCACATCCCAAGTTTTGGATACCAGCAATAGACCACCAGATACTCCCCGTGGTACCAAAGACATAGCCAGATGTCCCATAGCTACTCATCTCTCATGGTCCCATTCTTCCCTCCAGACTGTGATCCGTCCCGCAGAGCGCCACGGAGCACAAACAAGATCAGCATTTGGGTTGCTTTCCCCTGTTCCAGTAGCTGCACTGAAGTAACCCTCAGCCATTCCCTTCACGCAGGTGTCCCAGCTCAAAATGCTCTTTTGCACTTGGCCCTGTACCTGCAGCATTTGGGAAATGGATTTTTTTTGCTACTCTGTATTTTAGTTCTTACATGAACCTCTTTTTATATCCCTGTTATTGCTGAGAAAACTAAACATATTTGTCTCTTCCAAGTTCACAGTGTACCTAAGAACTAAATGATATACAGGCTGAGTCTTCTTAGATTCCTGTCTTCAATTTACTGCATTCAGTGAGTTTGTGGTTTGATATGCTGATAGTTAAATGAAAAGATTACTGTCATTACTGGTAATTTACAGCTTCTGTGCTTGATCTGTCAAATATTCTTTCAAAGATTAAACATGGTCTGTTAGTCGTACAATTACCTCTAAGTTTATAGGCTGCAAATTCAAAAAAAGAGGAGCTGCTATGTTCCTTTAAAATCCTGTCTTTCCCTCCCAGCCTCTGACACTGTGAGGTGTTACCCTCTATCCTTGTAAAGGTGTTACAGTGAATTCAGATAGCTGGAGGCATTTCAGAAGATAATCTTACAGCTATGCTTTCTGTCTTTTATGAAAAGTAGTAATTATCATATTTCTTGTATGTGTGTCTCAATCACCTCTCAGGCAGCATAATGTGAATGGGAGCTCCACAGGCAAAAATAAAAGAAAAGATTTCGTTAGCAGGCCATGATCATTAGACATCCATTTTTGCAGAGAGCTCAACTGGCGGTGTGATATTTATTCACTTGGACTTAGACTCCCATTGAAAATGTACTGCGTGCCTAATTCTTTGATTTTTAATGAAAAAAGTTTTCGTCGTGCTATAAATTAAACAGTGAATGGTATAGTAAGTAAAGGGCACCAAAGTCTTGATCTGGCTTTTTTTAGTAACCCATTTGAGTATTTATAGTGGTAACAGTCCAAAAGATTAAAACAATACTTTAGAAAAACATCTTTATTTTTACATTAGAATGAATTATGACTCTCAGAGGTGTTTACAAACATTACTACTAGCTGAAACAAAACTGGTTTGAAAGCTCTGTTTAGTGGTAGTTTACACAGCAATTCTGGGCTTTGTGAAAGGGCTTGTGTGGGGTTTTTTACAGCTAAGGAAGTTAACCAGGTGAATTTGTATGCTAAAAATAGGAAAACTGTAGGAAGCATGTTAATTCAACCATGTTCACCTCTGCCCTATACTAATACTCATACTGCAGAGAGGTTGCAGGGTTTGAGGGTTATTTAATATCTTTTAGTTTTCTGTGTTTTAGGGCATATTCTAGACTTCCAGTTACCCTTAATGGCAGGAAAGTTGCTTGTGGTCTGCCAGGTAACTAGCCCATTTTATAGAAATGACTGTCTGACACGAGCCATTCAGAGGCTGCGAAAAAAAGAGGAGGAGGTGAAGCTGAGCTGGTCACCACCTGCTAGCCCAGGGCTGCTGGGTTTGGGAGCATGACTTCCATGCCACCGACATCATCTGACCCCACATTGCGTCAAGGGAAAAGTCACAAGCACCAGGAGAAAACTAGCGTCCATCCACAGTTGCCAGGCAGCCGAGGTGGCTGCCACAGAGATAGTGCAGCGGAAGACCATCGATTTAGAGGTCGCCGGAGGTGCGAGGGAAGTGTGATGGTTTGTGAGGGTTTGCTGTCTGTCCATACCAGCTTCTCTAACTTGCCTTGAGTCCATGAGACGTAGGACAAGTTGCTATGTGAAGTCTAAGAAAAGCACCCATGTTGTGGAGGGAGTCAGCTAATTTTGTTCTGATTACCAACTGGCCCATGTGACTGTCCAGCAACAGCACAAAATGTTATCTATTTGGTTTTATGGAAGTGGCCATTCATTAAAGTGTTAGAAACAGTAAGCAGGCAAATATCTTTTAGACTTTCATGCAAAGACTTCATGACTTCGTGTTTCTTTTGAGATTAATATTTTTTTAAGAAGTGTTAAAATAAATAAAATTACTGTGGGGGCAGTACTTAAAACAAGAGCCTCAGCTCACTCAGGAGCACTGATTTATAATGGAATGGGGGGGGATATGGATGGAAAACATTGTTCAGATTCGTGTTTAATCAAACTGAGTGTTTTTAATTAACCAGGGAAGAAGATCGTGAATATTTCTATGTAAGTAAGTGTTACTGCTCAGAGGAAAGCTTTCATCATAAGAAAATGATCGACTCACTTGGCATAAGTGAAGAACTCATTATTGGTGTCTTTTAACATACGACGTCTTTTAACATTGCATATTCGAAGTAATAACAAGGAAGATGAGGCACCTGATAAAGTTAAGCTTTTTTCTTTCTGTACTTTTTTAAAGATGGGGTAATAATTAAAGCATAATTAGAGAATTTTCCTAAGATCTGGGTTTATTTAATTTAAGCATGACTACACAGAAGATTCATTTCAGTTGTTGGGTGATTTTAAATCGCATGAAGCTATTTTTCTTACTCTTATTTTTAAGCTGCTTATAAAAGAGTATTAGAAATGTAATCAACACAAGACTCTAGTATCAATGTGGTGCAGACATCATTAAAAACTGAAGTTGAGGATATTATTGAATTACATTCTGACTTGCAATGATACGACACTCTACTTTATACAACAGCTCTGTTGTAAAATATTTTACAAATCTGCAAAGAATATTCACCTAATGTCATTAGAGACCCTTTTTTTAAGCGCTTACCAGAGTCTGAGAAACAGAAGTTTTATCTAGGACCAAACATTTATTATCAAAATTTAATTTTAGGAAAAGTAAGTCTTTTCAAAATAAACTCTGAGATTATCCTAATGATGTTAGTATTTGTGTTAAAATCAGTACTCTGTCAAAGAGGCATAGAAGGAAAAAATGTTAGGTGTGCTGTAAATGGTTCCATATTTCCCTGAAGAAATTAATTTCTATGGACTGAAAACATTTTTTTTTCCTAATTAAATCAGTTTTATGATGCATTTTGCTGCATTCATGTGAGTGAAATCTTTCCTTAACATTATTTGGGGACTTAAAATATTCAGCTGTCATATATTTTCTGCTAAGTAAAAATGCGTATTACCAAAATAAGCCAGGCACATGCAGTGCTGTGGTGGTGACTGGCCATGGGCAGAGCCTGTCCCATGATAAATGCAATGCTGCTTACCTCTGTTTTATTCCAGGCCAAATTGTCTTGGATAGCTTTGCATTTCCTACATATGCGCCGGCAGCATCTGTGGGAAGTAGTAACTTGTTAGCCTTCTGTCTGTGCAAGGATGCTCTCCCCCACCAAAGATATAAAAGGATCCTCTGGCCAGTGGGGATAAGGCTGGGGAAGTAGTTTCATGAAGGATTTAAGCCTATTTAAATCCCTGGGGTCACTGAAAGAGGTTGCCCCTCCCTCTGCTTTATCCTTCAGCCATTCATTGCTGCCCCTCTCTGTGTCAGCACAGGGCTTGTCAGTTCAGGGAGCTACTTCAACTGAAAAAAAACAAAACTCTTTTTTCCATGGTCAGATTAATTTTCAGTCCAGCTGCACAGCTGCCCAAGCACTGATGCCAGCACAAACAAGGGTGCTGGAGCACACGATCACAGGCAACAGGGAGGGCAGGGCTGCTGCTCTTGGTAGCAGTAAATAGGTAAAATTATTCAGGAAACTGCAGCCAGGGTGTGAGACAAAATCTAAATCCAGATTGCAGATGTATTTTTTTTAATCCTTGAACTTGTGGATAATCCTTCGTGAGCAAAAAAGTGAGTGAAATTTGCCATTCATTTTTTTTTAAACTAAAAATATTTTTTCAATAAACCAGATAGATCTGCTGGGAAATACATATATACTGATTTCGTTCATTTCCTTTAATGACTTAACCTTTTTTTTTTTTTCTGAAAGCGTATAAACTTGGTTTTAAAGAAGGATTTCAGTTACTCATTCTTAAATATTTTCCTAAGTGATTGTTCTCCTTCTTTTTCTGCCCCCACTTACCCCCCAAAAAGGACCTTTATATCTTCATGTTACAACTGGAAATGAGACATAGTGAAATTAATTGACTCTTCTGCCCTGTTTGATGACTGAGGAGCCTGTGACAGTCAGGAACCAAACCCAGATCTCTCAAGAGTTCAATCCAGATTGGTGTGAGTACAGACAGGGATCTTAAAGCCAGAATACATCCTTTGAACAAATTACCCCCAGCTTTTTCCAGAAACTACCATGTAAAGCATGTAACATTTTGCAGCAAACTAGTCTCGATTCTCCCCATTGCTTTAGTTACAAAGGAGATAGATGTTCCTTCGTTCAGTGTTGACCCCAGGAGTTTGTTAGGCAGAGGCACTCCTGGGCTCTAAACATTCCTCTCTTCAGTTTCCCTCACTTGGGAGAATTACGGTCTGTATCAGAAAAATTAATTAACGATTTGAGAGGAAATTTCAAATTTAGATGTTACCCACAGTGAGGAGAAAAAAATTAACTCATTTAATGTCAGACCTTCCATTAATTATATAATTAGCCTCCTGGCACTTGAAAAGAATTGAATATGGATATATATTTTAAGTCCAGAAAATCATATGACCTTTTGCTGGGCAAATGGAGCCTTCTGCCTTTGTTTTTCTTCCTCTCCTTGGTAGCATGTGAGCTGCAATGTGCAGTTTACTAGAGGTGAGAAGGACTAAGAGTATTGTAATTTCAAAAGATTAAAAAGATGATAGAGCAACTGGGGATTGTAAGAGTCACTTAGGCAGGACTGGTGTCTGGTCACCAGTGCAAGAAAATAAATAATTCTGTTCTTTACTGCAGAGCTGTCTCCTCTTTCTTTGTCTCTTTCTTTCTTTCTTCCTCTGGTTTCTCTGAGGATAAAGTAGGCTTGAGTTTTAAAAGCCTTTAGCTGGGTAATGGTTGCACAGTGTACATTGGGCAGAAACTCTCTCCTTTGGGCAAAAGTATTTTTAAGTGTTTTGGATCAGTGGAGCTGACAATCATCCGTGTGCGTGTGGTCTGTAAGAAGAACAAGGTAATCTTGGGATTACCTTGAACATCATTAACAGAGAGATAGTGAACTAAGCAGCATTGGTACACTTCGTGTTGTTCCTTTACCTGATAGGTGGCTGTATTACATACACAAAACTGATATGTATAAGCCCCCCATTTACATGAATAGAGTAGATATGCATGGTTACCTATCTAATACTGGATTTACTCATACAAATTGAGAGGCCTCATCTGAGCTAATGTTGTTGTTATTATAGCCCTTTAACTCCATTTGAATCCATGAGCTGTTAAGACTCAACACTAAATTTACTTCACTTTGACAGTATAGGAATAGCTTGTCATATGGCATCAGGGTATTATACTTTTTAAACATTAATTGCTTTGGTCTAGAGCAAACTTTCTAAGACATTGTGGGAGGTTATTTTATCTTAAACTATACCACCGCTGGAGTCTGAGAATACATGTGTATGTCTCTGAAGTTCTAGACAGCCCCTGCAGAATTCAGAACTGACCAGGCCTACTTCTGGACATGCTCTGCAAGGCATGCTCCACTCCCTGGGCTGGAGCTCACTCAAAAAAGGGGTTCGTGAGTTGGGTGCCGCTGTTTCCAGAGTCTGACTTGGAAGGTCAGAATAACAGATAGGCATTTGGGTTAGTAATTAAGCAGTTATTAAAGAGCTTTCTTGAATCATGACCTAATAGGCTAATTTGGGAAGTACTGGGCAGCCACACCTTGGCCTCAAAGGTATTTGTGAGGTCTTCACATAAAAATGTCTAATATAGTTACTCAAAACCCCAGGCCCTCTTAAATGAGAGATTGGTTTGGTAGTTTAAGCCTGAATGTGCTTGTTAGTGACTGCTCATATGTTTGTCAACATTCTTGAAGCATATTTCTGGAAATCTGAAAAATTTCCTTTTGCTAGTTTCTGTTATTTTCATGGCAGCCTGGAATTCTGTAAAATAAAAAATGCATCTTCTGTCTTTGAGGTTTACTCCATTTTGGGGGAGGAAAGTTTCCTCTCCAGAATTTGCTGTTACCAGTGGAGACATAGCAAAGTGCCATACAGCTAGTTCCAGTTCAACTAGATTGGACTCACATAATGGTATTAAGGTTTTTATCCATCATTTCTCAAGAATAATACATCAACATCTTATTTTGCTGTAATGCAGAAACTCATTGAATTGCACCGTGCTTGAGTTTGTTCCTGGAATTCTTAACATGCAAAATTTCTGTATTCAAAATAAGCAGGATATGTACACTGTTAAGCTAAAATACCTAGAGAGGTTTCAGTCTGAAATCAATTGAAGGTACTTATGATTTATTTTTTGTCTTTTGGTTGCCTTATATTAAACTGCTAGAAGCTTGAAATTAATATTTATTTTCCAACTGCTTTTTTTTCGTTTGTATTCCAGAAGCCTTTCTCCCCTTGCAGCTCCTCTTTCTAAAGGCATGTAAATTTGAACAGCTTTCCTGTTTACCACTTCTTCATATTGTCTTCAGTTGTGACAGCTCCTAGGAAGAGAAACAGTTGAGCTATACCCCCTCTACTGGCAAGTATGCTTGTGCAGTCAACTAAACAAAATACAAAACTGTATTTGTGAAGATCTTAATTTTTATTTGAATCAGTACAAATTTTTTTCCAGTCTTGTTAAAGCAGGATTTGGAA